GTCATATCAAGAATCTTGTTCAAAAGATCGTACTTGATTTTAAACCATAGAATCCTAGAGATACTTTATTTGTATAGAAATGTATACATTGGTAATAACTTTTTACCTACTTAAATATGTTTAAGGATGAATCACCTTTAGATCAACTTGCAAACAAAAGTTAATTCTAATGATCTCTTCACTTCTTCGTTGCATTGTTCCTCTTGAAATACGTTTCTTTTTTTTTATAACATTTTATTTATGAAATATGCAAAAGCATTAAAATTATTTATATATCAATGTAGATATACGTGTATTAAGAATATTGGAAATGAACAGTGACAATTGCGAAAATTTGAAAAAGTGACCATTGAATTTTCCTATTCTTTACATCTTCTATCTTCTATCTTCATATTTTTCGGATTTTAAACCATTTACAAAACAATTCTTCGGAAATTGTGCTAGCAAATCAATTGTAGTTTAGAATCGAGCAATTTCTGTTTTTTGTTCCAACAAAAGATATTACTGCGTTGTTATGCAATTGCCGAGCAACTCAACAAATATTTCATTTAGAAACAAGTTTCTCGTGCGCAATTCTTTTCAAAGTAAATTGCTTTCTTCCTTTCCGTTTCTCTTTTTTACTCCGTAGTATTCTAAACGTTTCATATTCTTATCATTTAAATTTATATTTACGTATGATCTTTAATCTCCGCTAAGATTTTAATTTAAATAGCGAGAAGTTATGCCCTTTCCTCGCATGACAAGTCGACGCAGTTAACAGGTCAAACGTTTACAAATAATATTTATTATAATTACACGGTATAATATAACGTGATAATACACTTTAACGATATAATATCATATAACAACGTATAATGAAATACACAATTAAACGTATGTGAACAGGCATAAATGCACGTAACTAAATGCGAGAAATTTTCATTCGCAAGCTGATTCAAAAAACCGCCACTCTCCAACATCCTCCTTTCATCCCCCTTCCAATCAAATACGTCCGATTGATGTATTTACCCCTTTCTTAACGAACGATTCACCGTGACTCGCCTACGAAAATTATCACTCGAGTTACCCTTCACGAAAGCCCGAATTTATTTATCGCCGTTGCTCCCGAAGAAATTTACCGCCTCGAAGAAGAGTAAACACTCCTGCAAATAACCGGATAATTACAGAGAAGAGGTATATCGCGCTGCATCTTCAAGCTCGTATTCTATCGCTCGCGATCTATGTATATTACCATGCGGCGGTACGCCTGCATTTACATATCTGAATTACTGGAAGGTAATTTTTTTCCTCTTTTGAGTAATAGGCGACTTAAGAGGGTTAACGAGACATCGGGGAAGAGGGGAGAGAGGGTCGAACACGAGCTTTCGGTCGATCGCGAAAGAGTTGTACGTTTCTTAGCGTCGGAATGATACGTATTGTTTAGATATACGATAAATCCTCTATAAATACGGTCTGCAGCGTGACTTCTCGCAAGAAAAACCATCCGACCCGAGGTGAAACTACCCTTCCCCCCTCCCCGATAAAAATCTCCTTTGCCGGCCGTTTGAATTTCAATGCAACTCCGATTAAGACATTTCTGCCCAGGCACATGCGAGAGCAACTGTTTTTCCACCTGGCTTTTTACCTCACGCGCTTCGCCAAGCCTGTGCTTCATCGGACATGCTATGCTTATTCAGCCTGCATCGATCAAACTAATTAGAGTTCTCGCGTATGGGAAATGAGCTGTGCGTTCTGCCTGGCGAACGACTAGCAATTTCATCGACCCGATACGCTTATTTCCACGTTTTTCGCCACTCTCGCGAAAACGGAACGGACGATCCGATAATTATTTTCGTCGGCGCGCAACGCGCAACGGTGATGTTTAGTTTAGTGGTGATCGTTAGTTTGTGTTCGAAAAGCCGATGGAAAGGCTAGATTCAATAAGTATGCAAATTTCCCACTATATTTGACTACGGATGATACATGATGCCAGACCGGTGCAAAAGTTCGCGACGCTGAGGGAGACTGTCGTTTGGGTTCATAACGCGTTAACGCTCATCTCGTACAGCCACCGAGCGAAGACCGCCCCGTTCGACCATAACGCACAAGGTGTCTTATCCGAGATGAATAGCGGACAAAAGAAAAAAAAAAAGAATATATGGCTGCTCGTCGCGGAAGATAAATCAACTTGCAAAATAACGTCTTCGCGTCCAGTTCTTGAGAAAATGTTCTTGAAGCATAGCAAAACAAAGACAAATACCGGGGCGAATGATAGATACCTGCTTCGTGGTGAAAATATCCACCGGCGGCTTAATTAAAAAATATTTTAATTAATTTTCAAATAAAAGGAACAACGAACAAGTTATGTTACGAGGTGGGCACGCTGGACGAGTGATTCGTTATGAAAGTTATAATTAAGTCGTGGTCAATAAAACTGAGTAGAATTCAAAGTAATAGTAATAGGTAGCTTCCTGACCACTCTTGAAGTCAATTTGTTCTGAGAAACTCGCGTCGTGTTCCACTGGGAAAATTAATTTTATTGTTCGGTAATGAATCTGTCATGGCATGTTCCTTATTTTAAATCTTGCGTGTTTTTTCAAGATCGTTAATTTTCCCCCAGCTGGTGGATGAACTTGCTACTTGCTACACTTGTTTCTAAAGATCATGATTTATTCAACTTATTCATCTGTGTCAAATTAAATTGTTACAATTACGTCAATATTAACTGAATATCAAAAATCCATGACAGTATCGACGGCAGCCAATTTTCACGTCGAAGATAATAAGACTTTGCCCTTTATAATCCGAGAATGAACATTAAACTGTTGCTATATCGTCGCAACGACATCATAAAGCACGGGACGATCGATTCGAATATTTCAATCGTCGAGTAAAATTCAACAAACTCGTCAGAGCGTTCATTATTTTCGCTTTCGCGATTGCTTCGAACTGCTTTCCAAAATAGTTTCGTGCGCGGCTGAATAACGAATTTAATTATTTGCAAAGAACGAAATGACCGTTTCGAGCGAAACATTATCTCTCGGTTTTCATTGACGTTTGAACGTTTTATCACGTTTCTGCGGATTTTCCCTGCGACCCCGAGTCGTTGATTATCGAGAAATATTTTTGGTCCCATCCCGTCACGTAGCGAAGCGTGATCATGCGACCGCAGACGGCATTCCGTTTGATAAATTGATTTTTCGATTCAAGTAAAAATCACTCTGTGGCGCGGCTCTCTTCGTGAGATCGGATCTCGAATCTTCCTAAAACCTCGTGGAAAGGAGCGACGGAAGCACGGTCGATTTACTCTTAGAATGAAACGTGCTTGTGGTAGGATATCTCGTGTATCATTATAGAATTGCTATGATCGTTCGTCCATTGGAATTAGCTGCAGAAATTATAACAGGGGATAAATGTTATCGTGCAATTTAATGTCATAGCCGACATTATAATAATATAATAATAATAACTAGATATTAAATAATTACGTATTATTACTATTACTGATAAATAAATTGTGGATTTTTGGAAAATTCGAAAGTGTAAAAGTCCGTGAAATGTAGAATGTTAAAAATATCTTTGATGATATTTAGTGGATGAAACAAAATTTTACTTGAACCACAATATTTCGTAGTTGTGTAAAAATGCAACAAAACCGTGCAGTTCATTCAATAGTAATAAATTTATAATAAAATAATATTTTAACTTGTTAGTTAAAAATAAATTGATAGACAAATATTCTTGGCTGTATTTTACTCTGATTTGTACAAGTTAATATTATCGTTTTACCGTGAAAATTATGAATCCTATAAAAAAGAATATTCAGATGTACATCTGTACAATAAAGAATCTATAAAGTGTTGATATATTAACAATTATAAAAGGTGAGTGCAATTGAAGAATATTATTATCTACAACAAATATTAAATATTAAAAATAAAAAATATCCTAAGACTTTTCAACCGAAATATACGTGTACTTTGGTAGTTTCGCGACTAAGATTGACAATGAATAACTTTGCAGTGAAAGAAACTGTGAAAACCATCAAACGAGTAATAACATTCTGGCACAGTTTATCCCTTTATCGTTTCAATTTCGACAGCTGAGAAAAGTTTGCACGGCGAATCGAAAAATAACGAGTTCTCCTTTAGTTCTATTTCTTCGGTTCGGAGATATTACGAAATTTATTGAAAAAAAAAAAATCGGAATTCTCAACGTTATTCTTTGACTCTAACAATTGACTTTCAGGGTAATTTTTTATTTGTTCATCTGCCTTCGACGAATTTTTAATAGTTAAAAGTATTTTTCGCTTATAACGCGAGAATATATCGTTTGGAATAATTTTCCTTCGTTCTCTCAATGAATTTGTTTGACTTGTTAACTGTCAGCTGAAATTAAGGTAAAATTAAGAGATCTAAATGCACTAATAAATACACTTGCTATAAAATTGAATATGAAAACTGATTGGAAAAAAATTTTCATATTATTGATAAATTTCCAAGTTTAGTCGAATTCTTAAACTTAAAAGAAACAAAAATAGAATAAAATAGTAAATTAGGAATTTAATTTGTTCTCATTGTCAAACTATCATCCAATTACTAAAGAACAAAGTAAATATCCTAAATATCCTATTTCAAAATAAAATTCGAGAAAATTACAATTTCATACGTTGTAATATTAGCAATTTGCCACGTGCAGTTTCTTTTTCTTTCCTTCTTTCGTCGTAATTTCAAAATACTTAAACATTGAGAAATATCGTTTGATTTTCACTAAAATTTTAATTCGAATTTTAATTCAGAAAAGCGAGCCCTCTTTTTAAACGTCACGTATTCTTTTAGCGAGTTTAGAATTTGTTCGCGCCATATTAGTAGACTGAAACGTCCCTTTTCTTTCACACTATTATTATATATTATTTCCATAATGCAACGATAAGAGGAACGGGAAGGTGTAACGATAGCTAGACGCGATTAATTCAAAGACGGTGAGAGGTTGGCCAGATTGATCGATAATTAACTTTGCAGTGGTGTTACGGAATGAAATGCCTATTGGTCGGCAAGCGGCCAGGAGTTGTAGACGGTGGTTAGGGTAGCTGGTCACCTTGGAGTCGATGTTCCCGAAGCTGCGGTTCCGGTGTGGCTTTCTCGTCAGACGGTGTATCAATCCTTCGCCATCCAACGGCGAAACTTATTGTCGCAGCAATAGAAAACGTCATAAAATATGCACCACCAAGGTTAATACCTTAGTCGAGAAAATCAAGTCGATATATACTGAATAACAATACATTTTCTACTAATTGTACGTACCGGAAGAATATGTTACATAGTGAGCCTCGTGATTTTACATATTATTATATGTTTATATATTGGTCCATCTATTTGTCTATATATACTAGTTATTACTGCGTCTGTATGTTGACATACATAATATTCTAATATCTATAAGTATAGACTATTATTAAGACTAGTCTAGAAGTTCGTATATGTATTATTACATGTTTATGTATTAGTCCAGACTATTAATTTTATTAGTTTAGAAGTATGTACAGACTATTAATTTTATTAGTTTAGAAGTTCACATATTACTACATAATACCAAGTATATTTAACTTGGAAATTTGTGCATTACTACATGTTATGAATTTTATGACTTTCTACATATATTATTGTATCTGCATATTGATATTCTATATATTCTAGTCAATTCTATTAATTTAGAAGTCCATGTATGTATTACCATACATGTTAGTCTAAAATGTTTGTATATTAGTCTATTTAGTCAAGAAGTTTACATGTTATTACATGTTATGAATCTTATGATTATTATATATATATATTACTGTGTCCTTACATCCATAGTCCAACTCTTATTTCAGTAGTACATATTTCAGTAATACATATTTCAATTCTAAAGACGAAAATCATTTTCGTCTGTGATATAAAATCTAACTGGCTACTATTTCCCTGACTTTCAAGAGAAAACCTTATACTGAAGAACTATCGTTGCAGATGCGTTTCATTTGTTAGATCTGAGTGTTTGAGGAAATATTTGCGCATTAACGCGGAATAAATCTCCATTACTGTCTCGATGGTCCCACGGCAAATTAACGTCTAGAGACTTAATTTAACGTGATGATGTGGATAAGAAAGCCGAGACAGCGCGTGCAAAGTGAGCAAAAGAATATTTTACTCGTGAAACGGAATACTTAATTTTCACAAAATATCATGTGACAATAAAGTGTAGTAAAAGTGCATTTTTCATTTTGTAGTACCTATCATCTAACTATTCACATTGTTCAAAATTTCTTTTTGTCGTATGTATGTTAATCATTGTATTTATGGAAATAGAAACGCGATAGTTAACGTATTAATTTAATTTTACTAATATATTACTTTGGATAATTAAGAATATCTTAATTTAACCGTGTCTTGTTTGGCCGTGTTGAGTAATCTAATCTGAAGTAATATGAATCTAAATACTTTGAATATTTCAAATTTTCGTTCCTTATTATATTAATTTATCACGCATTTCTAATATTTCCCGTGGAAGTATATGAATATTTACAGGAACTTTTTATGAATATATTACGTGTACCATATGAAATATTCTAATAATTTCATTAACATTGCAGTGAGACCATCATGACACTACATTGATCAAATTCGAAACAATTACATTATGAAACTTTAAACATATAGCTACATAAAAATTACAAAACATTTAATGCAAGTATAAATCTCAATCTTCACAGACGCTATTAAAAATATTTAAACAGCCAATTATTCATTATACTAGAGAGGGGACCACTCAATATTCAGCGGGACCATGTTTCATGTTTATTGCACAATAATTCACGAATTCATGAATTTGAACATTTACAGGAACTTGGTCAAGTTTAAAATAAATTTACCAATAATTTAATGCAATTGTCTACGTTAAATGTTAAATATTTGACTAACGTCAAAATATATAACATACTGTAAGTCAAAAAACACAGGATATTTCCGCTGTGATCGAAATTCAATAAAACCACCACGCGTCACATATTCTTTCGCCGTCGGTCCTTAATTTCCCGACGAAAGCTACGTAATCACTTTCCAACGTTATCCCGAGCAAATCGCAAAATTAGGTTACCTTTCGCACAAGCTTCTCCTCCCTCTTCGCCGTTCGTCATTAAAACTTTTCCTCAAATTCCAGCCGCGCCGTCGTTCCGCGACGTCCAGTGCAGCAACTTCGATAACTGGGTCTTCCCAGAAGACGGGAAAGTTCACCGATGGACCGCGTACAAACTGCCCGAGGGTAACTAAAACTCGTCAACGGCACATCGATACATCGCGTACCCACCAGGCTGTGTAAGTGCCCGCGTACTCACTTCACGTCGTGTCAGATCAGCAAGCTTCGGAAAATCCGTGCGGACTTTACTGCCTGAGCGAGACGAACGTGGTGGCCTCGTCGACGGCACCACCTGCTACAGGAATATCCGAGACATTTGCATCGGAGGTGTCTGTCGAGAGATTCTCTGCGATCTGAATATGGAATCGAACGTCGTGGAGGACGCGTGCGACGTCTGCAAGGGTAATGGCAACTCGTGCAGTCTAAAGAATAACCGCGATAACGATCGTCGCGTCGTCCCGTGAGTGTAATTACACCAGTGATTTCCTTCCCTTTTCGAAGCATCCTGTTTAGCCGTGATTTCGCCTCTCGTTACTTGTTTCACAGTTATCCCCGTTTCGTTGCGTTTCATCGCCGTTCGAAACGCATCGGGTAGTTTGTTTTAGTTTAATGCCTCGGGGCGTTTCGCATTCTGGCAACCTTCCTTTTATATTTGACACAGTCTTCCTTTTACATTTAGTAGTAATCACGAACACTTTCGACTTTCATTTCATAAACGTCGTATATTCTTATTTATAACTTTCGTCGCTTTGAAGGAACAACTTTTTCAATCCGAGAGTTCACCACGTCCCGCCATTTCTATCGCCGGAAGATTAATCTAAATTGGTCCCAACTTGCGAAGGTTACAATCGCAAGAGCGAAGGAAGGAATAGATGGTACGGATGAATACTTTGACTACGTCTAGAATGAAAAAAGAAAGAAAGGAAGAAAGTGCCGGAAGTTTGATTTAATATAAAAATCGTGGGGAGTAGGGAGTTGTGAGACGCGAGAGAATCTCTAATCGCGATAAATAAAACGTTGGAAACATGGGAGAGTTGAAATTCCGCGCGCATAAAACGCACTAGATCCGTGAAAAGTGCGAGAAGTTTCCAAGGTATTTCCCGTGGAATTTCATCCGTTCTCTCAGCTTTCGAATCGGCCCCGATATATTCCATCAACGAATAAATCTCGTATCCTCGTATTCCTTGGAATCGATACTCGCGCGTCTCGTATGGTATGAAACTTGTAATGATCAAGACCGGGGGGGAAACTTTCAATGGAGAGAGCCAAGAAAAGTGGTGGATATTCCGGTTGGCGCGACCAACGTCCGGTTGGAGGAGATCGAGCCCTCTAAATCCAGGATAATGGTGCAGACCAGAGACGGGTAATTTGATTTTTATTAAAGAATTGAATCCTCTCTAATTACTAATAACTATTTTGCGCATATTTTTGTACATTTTAGGTAAAAAACATACGCACGTACAAACGTAAGTTAAATATTTTTTTCACGCCTGTTTCGCCGTATTTGATCACTGTCATAGATGACTATGTGTATGTAAATAATATTAGAGCAAGCAGAGACTCGTTAATTGGTACGTTCGAGAAATTTCAATAAACGATTGAATGTTACAAATTATATTGTCACCGTATAGGTTTTATATGGAAATGGAAGATTTCATATCACGACTACATAGTCAATAGTCAAGTAAAAAGTAATTACACGTTGTTTTACGTTTTCATATTTAATCTTCCAGCTGCAGGTGACGCCGAAGTCGCGTTCCATTTATTCTGTTAATTTCAACGGGCGACGTTGGTATTTCCTTTTTGTTCGTTTGTACGATTCTTTTTTTTTTACGTTGAGATTAGTTTCATTATGATGAATAGACCGCGGATTTTCATGCATTTATACATTTTTATAAACATAATCAGAGAAATGGAACTGAAGTTTGCCTGAAATTTGTTTCATCTACCAAACATTATAACAAATGATCTACTTCAATTTCTACGTCATGCATATATATTTATGAATATTAAAACGAAAAAATTCGTTCCATTTACTATACACTATAATAAATACATATTATCATTATCTATAAAATAAAAAAAAGACTAGGTCGTTCATCTTCACTCAAAATTCCTTTACCAAACTTTCAAAAAAATGTAAAAAAAGTTTCACATCGTTTGACAAACGTCTTCATCGTATTGTCCAATCAAATTTTTAAATCAAATTTCCAAAAGGTTGTCCAAAGAGAGTAAAAATTCGCCTCGGAAGAATTGTGTGAAATTTTGTTCGGGGAGTAACGAATTTTGCCACCTAGATTGAAACATACTCTCACCGCCTCTGTGTCTGCCATTTTATACGCTTAATTCTCTCCATTTCCAATTTGCCTCTTTCAACAGAACTTCTCAACCAACAAAACTCCTAAATAAACAAACACCACTGGCCAAGTAAACCATCGAAGGTATTATCTGCGGATTATTTCAGGGGTCGTTTAGGAATGTTCGAGGGCGTGGCTAGGAACGATAAGTCCGAGCCAGGAGACTCTTAGCATACCGGGACCCGTCAAGGAGGATCTGCTTATACTGGTAAACATAACGAACGCTGTCCGCTAATTAGCCGACCTGGCAGATCGATAAGATATCTCGAGCAAGATGTCCAGACTTGGACACTTCTTATCGGGTCGCGCAACACCCTTAATAAAGAAGAGATCTTCGACGCCAAGCTAACCGCCTAATCCCCTAATTGCCATTACGCGATGCCTGCGTCACCACCTGCGTGGTGCCTTCCAACCGTTCATTAGAAGGAACGTTACGTTTCAACGTTGTATCTCCGCTGTTACCAGGCGACGACGAACGGGGGACGTTGCTCAAATTTAATTAGCATTCTCCACTTGCCGGTCGAATCGTTCGTCGCAACGTTGCTATCGCAGGTCGCGATTTAAACGCCAATTTAATTTCTCTTTTCATCCGGTCGGGAAATTCCGGACGTCGAGGGTAAATTTATTTATCGCGAACACGCGACATTCTTATTTGATATTTATTTGGTGTTTGTCGATGATTCGTCGAATGGAAGATGGGACTCGAACAGTCGTATTGCATTAATTTTAATTGTCGCGACGTGCGCTATTTCGGCGGGCTTTCTCTTTTTTTTTTATCAGTGGAAATTACGGAAGCAAATTCCGGAGGATGAAATTTAGTTATCGCAAGGGAATCCTTATTCGTGGATAATTCATGAAACAGAGATACGAAATATCAAGCGAAACTGTGAACTTTTATATAATTTTTATCTGCAGAATTTTTAGCTTTATGTCAATTCTTTCGAGATGATGTTGTACGATAAGAGTTTCACTTTGTTATGACAGTTCAATTTTGACAGAAGTCAGAAAATAAATTCTCATTTATCCAAAACGATATGAAATAACATAGGATTCAATAAATACAATATATTTTATGAAAAAGAAATTACGGTTACTTCATATCTAACTGACAACTTTAACAATTTGATCTCCATTTATTTTAAAACTCATTGAGGAAAACAAGTTGACGACTATTATACAGGATGTTTCACTTAATGCTATCAGCTTGATCTACGCCATTTATCATTATCCGCAGAAATGTTATCATGATAACGTGATAAATGATTTCAAAGTGCGCATAAACAAGTTCGTATAAGTGTTGTAACAATATATTATATATAATATTCAACATGAATTGAATGTCATATCATATAAATATGAATATGAATGTGAATGTTATTCTTTAGACAAACATCGGGTTTTCCAACGAAGCAACATCTTTCATTCGACGAGCAACTATTCGACATTGTATATGGAAAAGTAGTTCCGCCTATATGCATATAAATATTCGCCGTAATTTCGTTGACCGAGTAAGTTGTTTTATCGAATAGATTCTGCCGAAAGAAAACGTGACGGTGAGGTATTCGTACGGCGTGAAAGAAAAGAGCCCTCGTAAGCCAGAATTCTCGTGGGACTTTGTCGACTGGGAGAAGTGCAGCGCGAATTGCGGGCCCGGTGAACAGATTTCTAAACCTCGTTGCCTGGAGAAACTCGCTCGGCATCGTGGACGAGACGTTTTTGTAAAAGCATCCCCAGGCCGGAGGAAAACGTGAAATCCTGCCTGCTGAGGTTAGAACGACACGTTCGTTAGATACTTTCTAATTAAAAAAATGCTGAATGAGTGTCGCAGAATTACTGGAAATTTTATTTATCTCACGTTATTATTGTACTACGATATTATACACGGGCGGAGGAAAGAAAATGACAAGATAACTAACAGAAAAAAAATATTACATTTTTAGATTTAGGTTTCTACATTATTATAAAATGAGATTGCGTTTAATAATGAACGTGAAATACGTAATTCAGAACAGATTGTTCAGGATAGTTGTCGCCATCATGCTGAAGGATACAATATATTTAGTAAAATATTAATACTTAGAGTATTAAAAAATATGCACTATTATAATTATTATTAGAATACGCACAAGCAATTGATGATTCAGTAATTTTAGTTGGATTAATAAGCTTGCACACTTGTAAAAATAAAACTTAACTTAAAAGCCGATTTTTTTATATATTATTATATTACTGTTGTATATCACTATTATTATTATAAATTTCGGAGCGCAAATTTGAGAAACCTAAATTCGTACGATAGAAGGAATTGGAGATGGCTGTGACACGTCCACGTTTCGATTCTCAAACCAGTTATAAGAAATCATCTTGAAATAATGATGAGTACAAAAGATTCTTACTTGGGTAAATATATCAGCTTCAATTCCAGTTCTACAGAACCAATATTATTTAGAGATATGTGTTACAAAGCCAGCGCAAAATTCAATATCGAACCGATATAATATGTAATGTAATATAAATGTATGACCCATGAATCTTTCACTCGTAACGAAACCAATATCTGTCTCATAAATCACTTTGGTTTCAATGAAAATTTTACACAAAACTTCCATATAATAGTCATTTCAATAGATTTTCTTTCTATCTAATCTCTGCGTGATTGCTAAACGTCCAGAGAGAAATTGAAAAAAATCGTAACGCAACGTTATAAAAGGTGTTCGTTTAAAGAGAGAACGTTCCTGAACCTAATTTACCGAAATGATAACGACATTGTTCGTAGATGGATGATCGGTGACTGGCAAGGTTGTACATCCTGCGAGACGAATCGTCAAATAAATGTGTAAGTCCTGTAAGGCCATTCTGAGCAGGATGTAGATATTATCGCTGACAGCTACTGTCAAGGACCGAAGCCGAAAGAACGAGAATCCTGCGCCAATCGAGAGAAACGGGACGACGACGTTCTAAAACACGACCAAAGGAACAAAAGTACCTATCTACTCTCTGTCCTGCTTCCACTCTGTCGGGTAATCTAACGATCAATAGCGTCGTTAAATCAATCGCCGAAGATGAATATACCAAGCACTCGAGCCCGTTGAAATGATTCAATTTGTAACAGTGACTTTGTTCGATTAATTCTATTATGGAGTCGAACATCGATAACTCGAGTCTCAAGGGAAGGGAAGAAATCTTCTTTCGAATTATACAGCTTTCGTCTTGCCGAGTAAGAGAAGTTTAATAAGCGAACATTTGACTAATGAATGGTTTTTACGATCGTTAGTTTCTCGACTCGTGTAAGAATGTTTCTTTCCTAATTTTTTTTTGTACGTTCGTTGCTCACTTCATAATGATTAGTGATTTTCTGTCATTCAAGTGAAGAAGATTGTTAACAGGCAACAATTCTTTGTGCAATTTTATATTTTCCGTGAACATAAATCAAACAAACAGCTTTCACTGTGAAACGTATGACAAATACTTTTGATATTTTCTATATTTTTTCTGTATATTTTTTATATTTCCATATTTTCTATATTTGCATTTATGTATCCTATATTAGTTTATAATCCGACAATGAAAGGTAAGAAAATCCTTAATTGTTCTTTAACTTGTTCTGGTAATTAAATATGCATTATTGTGATTATTATTAGATACAGATTATTATTAGATATTATTAGATATAGAAATATATTTCTAAACCAGTAAGACAAAAGAGTCAGTTTAAGAATCTTGAATCACGTGTAAAATAATATCTTACAAAATAAAAATACAGAGAAAAATAAATTTGAAAATTTATCACTGTACCACTCCAATTCTTAACTAAATACGTTGGAAATTTATTTTATCGGCGAGGTATTGAACGAAAAAATTTTACTTTATGTTTCTCACTTATTTCCAATGTTAGCCAAAGAATACTTAACAAATTTTCAAAAACGAAGTCTCAAATGAGAAAACAGAGGTTTACCGGGATTCGATTGTATTTATAATAATTTATTAGAAAATTCCAACATCAGGGACGTTCACAGAATTTCATTTCTTAACTTATAGTTATCTTTCTTGTATATTTTCATTTGTTCGTCGATCGATTAGCTCGAGCTTGCAATTATCCCATTTTCGTTTATTTGTCTGATACGTAGCTTGAAAAGATCACGAAAGTGAAAGCAATTATCGTGTGATTCAGACGGCGAACGTCTCTCTGAAAGGAAATTGGAAACTCGGACGAAGCACGAAGAGGAAGCAAAGAAAGTTGACGACGTAAAGAAGGGCGAAGTTGTGGTCGACACGGAAGATATTAAAAATTTAACGCTCACCATCATCTTTGAACGAGACGAGGCGAACGATGCTCTCAATTTTCCCAAGGATTTCGAACCTCAACCACCGGGCAACAGCACGAAATTTACTTTAGTTGGAATGGATGCGATCAGATATATACGGAAAATTCAAGAAGACGCTGAAGCTTCTTTGAAACAACGTTCCCGATAAATAAATAACAGATGTTGCTCCGCGTAACGCAAGTGCTTCGATAAAAGTTTCAGTTGCAATCAATAAAGTTGCATCGGACATATCGTGCATTAAATATCGTGTGGCAATATGAAAGTCGTATCCTCTTAAATATAACAATTAAACCAGCGATCTCTGGACGGAATGATGGATCGTGGCTTTAAATCTGTAACAGTGATTGGACTGACGGCGCAGAAAATAAAATATTTATAAAAATATTAATTTATCGACTATAAAAATGCGATAATCGGCTGTCGTTTTTCATTTCGTCCCGTGTCGTTCAATATCCTGGGATTATACACTGTTAAGAAGATTTAGGTATCATCGACGGTAGATTCATCTTTTTGAACAGGCATTAATAATGTCATTTAAATTAATATTTGCAAGGGAAGCACTTAAGCCATAAATTCAGAAAATTATGAAAAAAAAAAATATATATATATATATTATAATATAGAATATATAATTATATATATATATATAAACAGAAATTCTTCTGAACAGTCCTAAGGAATATATGGAACCTGTACGTATTAATTAATAACTCGTCTGTTATAATAAAATATACGACACGTATTTTTTTTACACAAGGTGAAGATTAAAGTTCTCTAGGAAAAGTTTATGTACAAATTTACATGAGGATAGATTAATATTAATCTATAAGAGAAATCAAATTTTTAATTTTTAATTTTTAATTATTTAAATTTAATTTAAGCTCGTTATCAAGTTCCAAAACTTTTCAATTTCTGATTATTAGAAATACTTCATATTTTAATTATTAGAAATGCATTAATCGCCAAAACAGTCACCAAATATTTTACCGAGAACCATAACTTATATAAATTTCATCAAAATCAACGTGTACGAGTTCCCCAATGTGCTTTCCCATAAAGAGTAAAATACTGAAAGTGAATCGCCTTGATATATCACACAAAAAGATCACAATACAAGACTTTATCTATATTTTCTCAATACTTCTAAATACTACATACTTCTACTTGCATGCACTAACACTCTAACTATCGATTAACAATTATCCTTTATAAGTACCAAACATGCCATATTAGATAATTCAAGAATTCATGTCTCACTTTTGCTGGTCCGCCAAGTCGACAATTTTAGATAATCCAGCGTAGCTGTAATTCTCTTTTTTGAGGGGAAGACCGGTAAGATTACGCCCCTCCAGCCTTTCAATCATCTCGACAGCCTTCGTGCCTGTATACATCTTCACCCTGGAAGTGTCGATACTGCCACCAACGATATCACCGACTTCTTGAAACGCTCTGTCCGACAAATTCGTTTGCAGATTCTCTTCTAAGTAAGGCGCCTCTAGCAACACCACGTCCTCGACTGGCACCGAGTCTTTAATGATCGTTCCAGGCTTTGGGGTAGACACGTTTCGGTCGCAGGCACCGCGTTTCCTCTTCTCTTCGTCGGCCAGCGACCATTCGCGGAGTAGCTGCCGGAAATCGGCCGTGTCAATAGCCGTTCTCGAATCCTCAGCTTCGCGAGGGACACCGTACGACTTTTCCAGATACCGGGCCAAACTCAAGTCCACGAACTTATCGACCATCTTAGCTCGTTCCTCGGGATGCAGTGATTGCTTCCTCTCGGGCTCAACGACCACCTCTTCGTTCGCGTTTCGGGCCATTTTTCGACAGATTTTCTTGCACGGCCTTTTGCCTGCAAGCAAGGAAACGAAGATACATTTTACATTTTTCATTCTTGTGATTTAATCAATCGAGCGATTCTTGCCTTTTGTGTGTTAAGCATGACGATACGAACGTGAAAACTGTTTTCCTTCGTCGTGTCAGTTGATTTTCAATTGGAAGAATAAAATTTTGGAAAATGAAACAAATTTTGGACACATTTCATTGTAGAACCACCGAAGTACCATTGAGGAACAGTATAATTTATAGTTGAACATGATCAGATTCGTCCAGAAAACTTTACGAGAGTCACTTATTAGTTACTTACGATAGATTCTAGAAAGTTTGCTCCAGATCGGACGAGAAACATACATACGTGATTGTCGGAATTGTAAGAAGAACGGCAATAAAAGAAACGACGATACAATTTTAATATTGTACAGCAAATGTTTTTTCCTTCGACCTCTCTCGTTCTCCGCTCTCTCGCGCCACAGTGTCAATATTTTATTTCCATTATATCGTAAATCTTTTACTGCGACGTCCACGCCATGCATCAACGTTTACCGGCGTGCAAACATCGCGCGACTCGTACGTAGAAACATAATATGGACACAGCGAGTCTCTGCAGAGCGCTGAAGGAAAATTATAAACACTAGAGTGTTTATACACTTTGAAGAAGCACGATCAGCGTCAACGACGCAACTGTAAACGTGATATTTCACTACGTGATATTTATCAACGTGCTGTATGTTATACAGTCTATAAAAGTGCGACTGACGGTAGCAATTTATTGGGGAAACTCGTTGCTCATTGTCAGTATCAGTGTCAAGACGCAGTTTTGGATAAATGATTGAAACGGAATGCTAAAACAGTAACTTGTTCAGTGATGTACGATTTTTGTGTCCATGAACGACCATTTACGCGTCTCTGAGTGACGTGTTAATTAACTTGTCAATGATTGGTCATGTTTAACGGAAGATTGATTGTTCTTGCGATTTGAAAAACTATTGAAGTACTATTGAATTTAACTGGGTAGGACGAAATTTTTCGTTGTATCGGGAAAACAATTTTATTAGACGTGACGATACAATTCATTGTTTCAAAAAGTATAGAAATACATGATATACAAGATATAGAAATACATGACAGAGTAGTTAGTAGGATAATTATTTGAGTACAAAACTGCTCATTTTCAATATCTAATATAAAGAGTAGGATTATATATTGTTTTCCCATTTTGCATTTGAAATATAGTAAAATTCCATTTACACGAACTCCGTTTATTCGAATCGAATTTTAATACGATACCAAATGAAATCAACTCTTGCTCGTTGAATTGTTTATTTGAATTTTATGTAAACGAAAAATCAGTGGACTGGATTCTGTCAGATGTGAACTCCTATTATTTAAAGTATTTGACTTATTCGATAAGTTCGATAAGATTTTTCGAATATCTTAATATCCGAATGTTGTATCGTCGAAACAAAATTTTGGAAACTGAACATTTTCTGGTAATATAATTTTCGGATGTTCGAACATTCGAAGACAAAGGAAGCTCTACTGTATGTCAAATGTCATCTAATGACACAAAGCTTTAATAGGAAAATGGTTTAATCGTAGTTGACTTTTGCCGGACATTAAAGATTAAAAATGATTGATTATAAGAGGACGAAACTTCCGGTTACTGTTTAAGGATAATAACCTAAGAGTGAGGAAAGGAAGAAAAGCAATCAAATTACAGAACGAATAAGACGGAAAGAGTTCTGATAAATAAAAATTACAGAGATTGGAAAGTTCCTGTCGACGTGCTTACCTATGCATTCTTCCTCCTGTCTCGGCACGCGACCTTTGCACGCGTTCAGATTCGCCTGAACGTCGTCCTGGCCAACACGAGCCGCAGCTCGCACGCATTGCACTTTACGATGCCTTTTTCCTTTCTTTCTATCGCAGGCGCTGCACTTGCTCCATTGGCTCACTCGCCACCTTGAGAAATTCCAATCTCCATATAGCGATCGCGAACATTGAACGAATAATGAAGCTCATAAAACATCGATCCTTTCCCGATCGTTGAAATTAAATTTAATTAAAGCAGCGACAGTATTAAACTTACATATTGTTGAAAGTTTCAAGAGAACAATAGTATCGAACCTAGTAGTATGTACTGGATTTTAAATTAAATATAAATAAATTTTAATTAAATTTATTCTTGGTATGACCGAGATAATTTTTTGTACTAGGCTTCTTTTTTATTGAATCATTGTGATACTCAATATAACAATTAGATTATGGGTGATTCAAAAGTAATTGAAAAATGTAGAATAAAATTGATTCGTAAGACGTTCCGTTTCTTAGAAATTTACATTTAACAATTTGTATAGTATATTTGTATAGTATACTAAGCCAATTAACTAAACATGTTCAAAGTGTCTTGAAAACTGATCGTTAAATGAAAATTCACTTCTATCTAGTCCGGAATTAGTCAAATTTAGATATGTAATATTTCAACAAATTTTCAAGTCTTTCGATTTTCTCGAAAATGAAGTCATACGTGAAAAAATGTTATTTTCTCCCCCGTTGACTTATTTTTACCTGCAGAATATTTATAAATATTATTGTAAAATATTTGCAATTGTTGTTATCGTTTGCTATTTTCTAATATTTCTTCGATATTGCATAAGAAAGGACGCGTGCGAAACACGTAGAAATATAAAATTGCATATAAAATAAACTATAGTTTTAGATGTGTTCACGTACTTCGCGAGACAGGGCTCTGAGTTGCAAACTCTGCTTTTTGGATCTGGTCGTGGTATGCCTTCGCAAAATGTAGGACTCACTTTTCCACCGTGTTCTTCGATACACGCTGCCTCTGATATCTACACCGAAGAAAATAATATCATACGACAAAAGTGGTACTATTCAAATATTTATGTTTTTCAAGAAAAATTGTGGAAAGCTATTTTCGAAATACATAATTAAATATCAAGGTAAAGAGTATTAAATATCTTGTAATTTCTGTACATATTTTTAGATTTGTTTTAAACTTGATCTCATGAAATTTTTATATAATTATTTACTGTACATGCTCGAATATTTTCATGAGTATCTCTAATAATATTCTTTAATGAATATTTCTAATAATATTCTTTGGAAGGCAAACAATTTGATTTCGCATTATGTGAACTGAAATGAACAATATCGGTCAAATTATAAAAACAAAAAGATATATAATTAATTGGGAAATATCTCTGCAACATTCCCATAGCGATAACCCAAAAATCATATTTTTTGAATTATGTTTGTCGCGAATATGCAACACAGAAATTCTTGCATGTCTCACATTTTAATTATCTAGGAATTGCAATTAAAATCTAATACCCTATGAATGCGTGAACAGATTTATTGCGAAGGAAATAAGCGTTACGTCAAGTTATTTCCGCGTTATGCATATTCAGTTTCCGGAGTTAATGGTTCTCCTATAAATCGACTTAGACATTCAAATTACCATTGTACCACCGCCGCATTTAACACTACACTCGGACCATTCCATGAAATCCCATAAGTATTTCGGTTTATACGATGGGTCACTTGATAGCACATAATACTCATAACGGATCCCAGGATTTTCATTTCGTTTGAAGAATATGTACTAAAAAAGTGTAATAACAATATGATGTAATATGTAATAAAAATTATATCAAGGAGAGAGCACAGTCCACATATACATATTATATATATTATATTTTATGTATGGAATTAATATATATGTACTTCTAATCGAATGTCTTCCGCTATGGGTCCCTTTATTTGAATTTCTTCTCTCCGTGGCTCAGGATACATGTATACAATAGAGGCGCCTGCACATTCATAATCACCACTTCTGCTTATAAATCTATGATCGTAAAAAAAATTCTTTCCTGAATAATGAATCTAATTTATTCGTTAAGAATAAGAAAAATGTTAAACCTTTCCCATTTGCAGTTAAACGCTAACTTTAAAATACAAGGACAAATATCAAAAATTTTATGTTGTTTGGCACATAATTTAAATATTAATATTCTTGAAATTTCAAAAAATTCAAAAGAAAAATATTAAATAAACTCTTAGATATTCTTTCCATAATCCCAATAATAAAATTTATTAACGCAAATTATACAATACCGGTGCTTAATGGATTAGTGCATAAATTTAAATTTTTTTGATATTATGATACTTAGCGTTTTCGCTTGAATCCAGCAATGTAACATTAATTTCAGAGTATAATAGTCGTAACATAATTTATTTTGTAGTAACAATATAAGTAATTACTTGTCTGCGTTTAAACAATAGGTGTTACTATGCTCGAGCCTCATCGCTAGTGAGTTTCTATGGGGCTTCAGTTCCGCTACGTGTATACTTCGCGCACCCTTAGGGAAAGTAACTACCTTCGTATATACTAGAAAGCAGAATCTTACGATTATTAATTTCCCTTACTGTTGCACTTTAAGTTGTACTTCAAGTTATTTCAATTTTGTATTTCCGTGGACGCTTATGCAAATTTATATATTGATTGTTCAGAAGAGAAAGGTTTGTGATAAAAATATCTCTATAATCTCCTTTAATAATGTATGATATTATGTAATGTATAATTTACGGTCATCGAAACCCGAGGCATTGAAGAAACCTTCTATCGGCATGCACTTCGTGCCGTCACCTTTGCAAATCCCGCACCTGTCGTAGATCGCATCCGAACCCAACACCCAGTCGCAACCGACTTTCTAAAAAATATCATATTTCTCACGTTTTTAAAGATTCTGTTTACCTAGGTATTAACATATAGTCTTAATTATATGTACGTTGTCTGATATCACGTTGCTTTTTTTATAAGTATTGTTATTAGTAATATATAAAATGTAGCTAATCTAAACCAATAGATCACAAAAAGATGGACATTCTTCGTTTCCTTCTCTTAGTATAGTTATTTTAATAATGTACGTTATTATACTATATATTAACAGGAGAAAATAAGAAATGTCCATTTTTTGTGATCCTTCGTTTCATAACACATTCTATTTATAACAATTAAAGTCACAGACTATCAAATTATGTAATAATACTTTGAATATTAAAATCATTATGATTTGATAGTCTTTCAGACTTCATCAGACAAAATAATGATGAATTTACAATCAGGCTGCGAATATTTATGTATTTTTGATAAATTTGAGGATGTAAGAATTTACAAAATAATATAAATTTATTTATATAATATATAAAATTAATAATAATATATTTATATAGAATATAAAACTATATTAGATACTCAAAGTGGAGCTCTCATTACGATATTTAATGTAGAAAACAAAGCTTAAATTTCACTTTTATACGTTCATGAAAATATAAAATTGTATAAATATTCGCAGTTTATCTATAACTAATAGATCTACTGGAGTCTATAAATAACTGGTGATTTCAATTAAATATGCAATCAAAATTTCTGCCCCACGAACTGTAGAAACGTTTTTTGTTCACGAAACGTTGTTAATAGAAAGGTAATGAAAGGTGTGCTGAAGATTCATCACGAAACTTATGAACGCGAACGGTATGAAAGGAATAATTTCGAATCGGAGGCATCTCTCCGTTCTTCCTCAGCGAAACGCCTTCGCTCTTTCGTTGCAGATCACGCGAGTATGCCTTCCTCTTTCCTGATTTAATTTGCGTTGCTGAAATACTTCCCAGCGTCCGGCATTTTACTTTGCAAATGAATTCGCAGGCTCTTTCTCTCTGTCTTAATCTACGCCGATCTAGGAATTGCAAATCTGTCAGAAAAATTAGCAATGAAAAATATGCTTTATCTGCGAAGGTACGTCTGAATTCTTCCATTTTTCATGTTTGCTCCCGAAGTAAAATACGGCGTTCTGAGATTCCGCAGGAAAATATCAGACTGAAAAATATTACTGGAATTTAATTGAAAAGTCTTGCAAAATCTTGGAACATTAATTTTTGAACGGTTATAATGAACGATTGATGTTTGTAATGATTAGTGATGTTTATGATTATTCGATATTAGTATTTGTTAAAATTAATGAAACACTGTGTAATTATTACAAGAAATCACCAAGATAAGATAGAAGAACTGTGTTTCTAATTAAACATTACATTATTATATATATTGTATTACACTAATAATATTGTCTATTATTTATCTTTAAGGAAAACTTTAATTATACTCCACTAATAAATGAACTCTTTCTATTTCAAAATTTTCAGTTAATTTCTTTCAAAATAACCAAATCAACAAACAAAGAATGCCAAAAGCAAGCAAGAAACGAAGGTAATAACTAATGCATTTGTGAATTTACAAAATCAAAGATTTATATTACACTAATAATATTATCTATTTGTACTTATCTCTAAAGAAAACTTTAATTATACTCCACTAATAAATGAACTCTTTCTATTTCAAAATTTCCAGTTAATTTCTTTCAAAAAATAACCATGTCAACAAACAAAGAATGTCAAAAGCAAGCAAGAAACGAAGGTAATAACTAATGCACTTGTGAATTTACAAAATCAAAGATTCAAAAGTACGTAGAATGTGTTGAATGTGTAAAAATGCGTACAATATTCAAAGCAATATTAATAGATGAAACAAATCTCTATTTAGACTCTACTTCATGGTAACTATTTACTTACCCTGCATTTACCACCGATGCATATGTTATTGGTACCACCCTTGCACGGAGTGGAATCATTCGCCGAAGGTTGGAGCTTGGTGTATACGAAGTTTTCATTGATGCAGTACAATTCGCATGGATCGATCGTCGCATCATGGATGGGATACGCGGTCCAGTTATGTTTGCCGTCGGACAGGATATCTTGATCGTTAAATATACTGCACTGCACTTGGCGAAACGACGGTTTCTTATAGTCGCAGGGCTGCAAAATAAGACATTGTCGTTTTTCATGAAAGAGACACGTTCGCTGCTGTTCGTGTTTTATCACGCAATGAAAACGGCATGATGCATCAACAGAAAACGTCAAAAGTTGAATAGGAAATGATTAATGATGCGAGACAGATGGAATGTCAATAAAATAAAATTCTTTGACAGGTTTAACCCTTTATAACGTTGTATAATTTGAAAGTTTTATTTTGTATGCTTACCGCTTTTACTATGACGAATGATATAATTGTATCGAACGAGAGAAATTATTAAATAAAGTATTTATTGTTTAGTTTAGTAATTAGGCAATTGTTAAATATATGTAATGCTTGTTTGATCCTTTCGATCATTTTCAACTCTCTTATATTTCTCGAAAAATATCTCAAGTTTAAGTAAAATATTCTTATATTATTACGTGTAATTCATTGATTATTGAACGTCTTTCTAAAACGTTTTGTTTGCCAAACTGAATCTAAAATTCGAGGATCATAGCCCAGTTAAACAAAATTTATTATTCATTAAATTTATACTACCAAAACAAAATTAGATTGGTGCATATGAAACAGAGTTCAGTTATCGATTAAAGAAGTAATTTAACAATAAAGAAAAAATTTGCTCATGTTTGCAAGTCCGATGTTAATAAACCACGAATGATCAAAACGATCTTAAGATTGTTTCACAGATATAAGTTTATACGTATTTAGAAATATCTTCCAAATTACTGGAAACATACATTTAATATTTTAAAAATATTTTCCAAGAAATGGAAAATATTAAAATGTATAAATTAATTAAAAGAATCCATAAATAAAACACATAGAATAGTTTTCTATCTGTTTCTGTAAATAAATGAAATTCTCATTTCACAGGGTTAATCTTACCATTTTAACATTTAATTTATTTCTTCTTCACTTTCTCCTAGAAAATTTTTAACGTTAAACCAAGATGATTATACGATCTTATAAAATAGGAAATTATGTATATTTGGTTTCTAAAAATAGGTTATTTTATATATATGTGAAGAAAATAAGGATGCCATCATGGCTTACGATCAAATAAGTACGCAGACATGCATACACGAGTGCACGCGATCTTGCACATCTAACTAGATTTCCATGAAACTAGGTTGCAGAGTTTAGGCTGAAGGAAACTTTAAATTAAAATTGCTCCTATAGAGAACGCAATTAAAATACTCCTTTGCCAGCTAGACCTAAGTCGGAAGTGACTTAAGTATACGAAAGCTGTCTAAACACTTAGCTCGCAAACTCTAACATGGATTTTGCAAATAAATACACTAATTTTGCAAGAAATATTTTCTAACTTCTTTATACATTTACAGATTCATTTTAGACTTGACAAATATTATAATCATAATAATATAGAATTGCCTCTCAGTACACTGTTAATTTACAATACAGGAATAAAATGAAAATAAAATGTTAAAGTAAATATTCAAATACTATTGTTTTTTAGTAAAATCTTGTATCTCGTATTTTAACAAATTCTTTTCACAATTACATAAAATACGTATAATATATATAATAATTTCAGATATCCAAATATCTTTCCTCGTTTTGAAACAAAAAACAAACAAAAAAAGAAAAGAGAAATGTAAAAAAAAGTATCCTCTGTACACAATTTAAAATGAAAGATAGCAAGGAAGCATAAAGAAAAGGAGAATAAGAAAGAAATAAGGAAGAGAAGAAATGAAATTCGAGGAACCGCCGAAATAGTCTCGTAGAGGTGGACAACTACAGAAAGACAGTGGAATTTACCATGGTGTTGCAAAGGGTAAACCTCTTCCTCTCTCCCAAGCAATATCTGCCATTGTTGGCTGGCGGCGGATTGTCACATTCCCTCTCAGCGTATTTCAGACCACCGCCGCAGGTTCTGCTGCAACTGTTCATGGGACCCCATTTGCCCCAGCCACCGTGCACCGCCGCCGGTCTGGTGCCTATGGGCACGCATTTCTTGTGAATGCACCACTGAAAAAAAAAAACCAGTTCCTTTTATTCTTCCGCTGATTTCGTCGCGGTACGCCTTTCGCGTGATATTTTTACGAAAAATTTCGCGAAGTGAAACGTGGCTGATATTAACTCTCGAATGGCGAATGATTTTAAAACAGTAACTGTTGGATCCAAGTGGATCTACAATGAAATGTGTTGCTTAATGTTCTATTTCACATTTGAAATTAGAATGTTATTACGTTTGTCTTTACGAGCATCCCACGTGGATACTTTCGTAAAAGTCTCGCGTGTCTACTACCACGGGTCAAAGAAATGGACCAGAATAGCAACGCGAGCAAAGGATCAGCTAAAAAGACGTTTAACGCGTGTTAATATTCGTAGCGAAATGCATAAATTGATACTAGATGTAGAACTGCGCTTTGTTCTCGGCGAATCTATTCAACAAACCATGTTCTCTCCGCATTTTGATCCTTCGGCCATGGCTGACCCTTTGGTGTAACAAGTTGTATTCGCCACCGCACACCACAGCATCTCGCACATTGCATTTAGCTGAAACATATAGAACGTTCGTTTACAATGGAAACAGAAACAATCAAATTATTCTTCGACAACAGCTTGACGAAATATATAAAACGCGGAGTGACATTCACTGTGAGCAAGCTATGTCCCATTCGATGTATTCCACGCGAGGATAATCGAGTCGTTTCAAAGGTAAACGTATTTGATACGGATTCGTTGACTTGAAAAACGATTCGATCGCAATTCCTAGATAAATTGATTTAAAAAGAAGAAATAGTACGTAGCGTTTCTATTCAAATTATTTTTTGAATACTTGCGAAACTGTTTCAGAAGCAGAATTGCTATGTCTCGAATACATGTAATTTATTTTCGATTTAGTGTTTAAATATGTACAAATATATATAAAATATATGTATTTCAAATGAGACTGTCCAATTTAATTTTGATCTCTAATCTTGTCTTGGCCAACCATACGGTACTAACTATATCTAGAATATCTACTAAGATATTGACGAAAACAATAGACGATATTTATCAATATAAGTAATGAAGAAATAGTTTAGGATGGAAAATTTATTTTGTAAGGACAATAAATGTATCTGTTTTTTATTGAGATATTAGAGCGATTAAGATATCTGTTTTTAATATTTTAAAAATTTCTGTAATCATAAAATGTCGTAAAGATTCTTCCAATTCATCCTGTGTCCTATAAATGAGTCACTCATTTGCCAAATCAATTAACTCCACAAAATAAGGAAATTAATAAAATAGTATATATTCTTTTTTAAAATTCCTCGTGAAATTTTATTTCATACATCCAAAATGTGCATTTGCAATTTTTGTTATTTAATGCTACCAAGCCTGATTATTAAGGAAATTTATTTCACATAAAAGTTCGAAGCATTGACTAATAAAATTTAAAAATATTCAAAAAATGGAGTTAATTACTTTGATCTGTGAAGAATAATCAAATAACCTATAAGAAGAAGAAAAAAAAAGATAGTAAGAGAAAATAGCGAAATTACCCCTGCATTACCGGGACAGATCTTCGATCCAGGCATGCTCATGTCACATTGAAAATTACCGTCGTACATCGCACCGGCTAACATGCCCGGATACTTGAATTTCTCTGGTGGATTTCGTGGATCGTTAATCAAGCACTCGCCCAAGCCGGTTCTAAACAATCAGATACGAAGCTTTCGACTGGCGACAGAGCAAAGTGAAATAAAACAGATTGGGAGGGAAGCTAACTCGAGCAAGTTGGTGATGTATCTTCTGCTGCATGGCGACCATCTGTACGTATGGATGTTGACAATCGGTGACATGACGAAATAACTGCCGTCCTTGTCTTTGGATTCACAGCCACTGATGTTCACCTCATCGTGCGAACAGCCCATCCTGAAGAATCATACCTTCTGCTGCATTTATTCAAAACTAAACTACGCGTTTATTCAAAAACCAAAAAGAAAGCTAAATTATTTTGAACATCTCAGATCATTTGTTATAGGTTACAACATTCAAGATTGCCAAAGAAACGTGCATGGACAGTACACGTGACCAACTTCATGGGCAATTACGACTCCAAGCAGTAGGCCGGTGTCTTCAGTGATGCAGGCTGCTTTCTCAGGATCGCAAGCAGTCCCGACGTATGCCAGACCCAACAGGTTGCAATGTGTCGCCGTTTCCGAGCAAATGTCGTATCTGAAAACCCGCGATCACGATTTCCTGTCGTGGTTGTTCTCTATTCTTGACACGGTAAAATTTTACCTAGTTACGAGAACCGCTATGTCGAAATGGTTTGGGTGAGTGTGATCCTTAGGGTTCATCTTTTGAGCCCACTTGGTAAAACTCGCCAACGTTGTTTCCGCTTTGGGACTAATCATCAAATCTATCTACGAGAAAACCATCTCTCGAATAAAATACCTCGATTATCTATGACTCTGTGCGAATAGAATTAAGAAAACGAGACTACGTTTTGTGATGCCAGTTGTTTTGTTTCTTTCCGATTATTTAAATAACTGTTCAATCACTTTTATATTCTTTTATATTGGAAGGATAGGCTTTTTTTTTTTTGTTTCTTACATAGTTACATAAAACATAATATTTGAGATTGGTATCCCAATATTAATCTACATGTAACTAGTAACCATAAGTTTTGCACAGTTTCTTATTACCGTTCATGTTAAGACTAGTAAATTACAGAAATGTTCCTAATTTTCAGTAATGAACAATTCATATCTTTTTCACAAAAGCTAAAATTCTTGCCAATAAGAATGTGAATTAACTAATCTCACGTACTTCTACATCGTCATAAGAATTTGGAAACAGTATCAATCGTTTAGAGTTAACAGTCGGAAGTGTATGCTCTTTGCCGCGTTTAAAGAAAGATCAATCAGGTCTATCATATCCTTCATTCCGTGTAGATTAATTATTAAAATACCGCTGTAACTAGTTTCGTGTTACCTCTTCCTTTTCCTTCTCCAAATATATTATGCGAACGATGACTACGTCTATTTGATTGCCGACAGATCCGTCGTGATAAAGATCCGACACCATGTTCATGATAGTCAACAGATACTGTTCGTAGTTGCTATTGTTGTAAAAATCGAGGAACCTTCTGTCGGCGATCAATCCAATCTCTAGAAAGCGATGGATACTGTGTGAATAGGAAGTTGCCTTGTCAAGGTTTTCCTCCATCAGTCGCTTTTCTCGTTTGGCCAACTGTTCCGCCCATGCGGCCTCCCAATTATCTGCACACAAAAAGCTCGTATTCTACCTTGTAAAATCAAGCTAATAAAGAAATTTTTTTCTAATATTTGATAGTTCGTTCAAAATCTAATATTTGTAAAAGAAAGTTTCAGCACAACTATCGCAAATATCATATAATTAAAAATCACAAATACTCACCTATTGGACACTGTGCATGTTATGAAATATTCACTTACTTATCGTTTGAAATTCAGCTTCCTTGTTTTTTAACACATCTTATAATTATCATTTTAAATTAAATTTTTTTTACCGATAATTACTAACCAGAAGTTCCACAGAAGCTGTAACCATGATCCGGACCTCCGCCACTCTCGTGCAGAACGTCCCGTTTGTAAGCTATATGAACGTGCTGTCCATCCTGTTGCGGTTCAGCTTCGTTCACCGGTTCGATAAAGTACCGATCGTGATCAGTTTGCACATAGCCGACCTGCGTACGAGTCCACTAGTTCACTTATCGATTTTCTCCTTAATCAATCTTATTGTAAATAAAATATCGCGTCGCATCGATAGAAAACGATACCAGAGAGAGAGAGAGAGGGAGGGCTGCAATTACGCGAACCTTCCCAATCTGGCTAAACCAAGTACGAAGCCAATGCGAAACTTGTAATTGGAGTTTCACTCCCGCGAACAGGATACGCGTGTGCACACGTGCCGTAACGGAGCGCGTTTCTTGCTCCGTTTACACCCAACAAATCCGTACCGAATTTCCATTCCGCGGATCGCGAAGTTACGCGACCACGCTTCGGAAATTACAATCCGACGATCGTGGCAATTACGACGACCGGTTGCCACACATAACATTTATCGCGGCTAGAGCCAACGACATATAATTCATAATTCAGGATTCGCGCCTCCCCGGAGTAGCGGAGGCAAACAAGCAGATCCTCGGTAATTCACGGGATATTCTGATCTGGTAGTCTAGTGCAGTGCATGACGAGCAACCGTTGTTCTACAGCGGAACAAAAGCAGAACGGAAGCAGATATTCCGTGAGGAAATTAGAATTCGGGATAGAAAGAATCTTGAGAAACGGAATTTTGTTATTGAGGAATTAATTAATTTTAGTTAGAATAATTCTATAATTTAGACTAGATTATAATATACCATATACAATAAAATACGAAGACTACATATGGTATTATGTGGTCTTTGTAGAATAATATATATAGTATTATATAGTCTTTGTACAATAATATTTATGGTATTATGTAGTCTTTGTACAATAATTAATTAATTTTGGATAGAATAATTCCATAATTTAGACTAGATCACAATACCTTTGTACAATAAAGAACATAACTAATCTAAAAATCACTTTGGTTTCATTTTAAAGCATAAAACCTCTACTTCGACTGTCCTGAATTTGTTTTCTCAAAGATGTTTTTACAATTATGAAACATTGAAAAATTTTTTAACGCGGCATAATCTTGAAGGTTGAAGTACAAAAATTCGAGAAATATTTTCAACCTGCACTAGTCTTTACATTTACAGATCAAAACGTTAAAAGACATAAAAACTTTTTGATTCGTCATAAATTCATTTAACCTTCACGAACTTGCAATATCTTCTTTCTACATCTTATCATCAAAAATTCTTACTCGAATAATCTAACAAGAAAAAAACAATGTTACAAGAAGGCAATCCGAGATTCATATCTCTCAATTACAGTCTACCGTTTGCGTAGCTTGTGCCAGAGACAGTGTCCTCCCGACCAGCAGCCAAGATCGGATCATTGTCACCGAGGGAAGGAGATTATGCAGATCTTGTCTCGCCGTACAGCACGACAATTGCATCAAGTTGAAAGCAAAAGCCGCTCTGTCGAGGTGTTTCGCAGCTGAATTCCCGAAATTCTCGCGAGAATTGACCAAGACTCAGGGCCATTGAATGGCGAACAAACGCGCGTATCAGCTTCGATACCGAATTTACGATCGATCATTCTGTCGATTCGACGACACGGCCCACGGGATACGCGTCGATCTAAATGCAAATACCTTATATTAATTTGCATCCGTTTAAATGTGTAATAAGGGGCTTGATTAGCCTCGAAGAGATTCGCGCACGCTCGCGTCGCCGTCGTTGTGGATTATATTGTTACGGTTGTCTCATTGCGGATCAGAGACAATCGTCTAATCTAACAAGTTCAATTTGTACGAAATCTCCAAGGGCTAGCTGGATAGATCATCGGAGAGAATGAATTAGAAATTCTGAACTTGTTATCGCGATGCTCATGAAAGTATTTGAACATTTATAGCACTCTTATGAATATATATGTATATTATACTACTTGTATATGTATAATATACTACTTGTAATATATGGAACATTTGAACATTTATAGGCACTCTTGTGAATATATATGTATATTATACTACTTGTATATGTATAATACTACTTGTAATATATGGAACATTTTGAAATTTCATTAACAATGAAATCCGATTACAGTGTAGGCAAAGTTTCGAACAAATCTGAAGATATACATATATAGAAATTGCAGAATATTCTGTGTAAATATAATATAATAATTTCACATTTCATAAAAATATTTAAATCAATTACCTATATATTTTATCAGAATTTATGTTATATATGTTACATTAGATATTGTAACACGAGTAAAACGTATACTCAAATTTTTTAGTTGATTTTAGTATATATTTTTAGATTGGTTTCAAATTTTGCCAATATAATTGTATATCTCATTACTACAATATTAATGTTTCAAAATATTTTATATAACACACAATATACATATATATATATATATATTCTGTATGAAGAAATTCAGAAAACAAATAGGAAGAAAAACGACAAACTGTTAGTTGGAAAACTATGTTAAATAAGATCAGCGCGGTCAATGTTATACGTAAGGGGCGACACTTCGCCAACCTAAGCCTAAATGTTACTGCGTGTTTATATATTACGCTTCGCGCCGAACGTCTAACAACAATATGAAAATCAAAACAAATAAAATCCAACTCGACCCAGAGGAAGAAAAGGAAACAGTAGTGAGCGAACGAGCGGTAAGCCAACATCGCCAACAGGCGGAAAGGGAGTTTACAATTTACGAACCACACCGTCGCAGAGAGAGAGGGCAGCCTTCGATTTCTGGTGATCTCTAACGAAGCCCCGATAATGGCATTGTCGATCGGGGGCTCTCTTGAATCGCAACGCCTCGTCCAAGTTAGTTCTAAGGCCGGCGCCCCGCGTCTCGATTACCATGTCGGGTGAGATGAATTCGTGATAGGGGCTGAGCTCCACGTGATGTTCGATCCCGTTGAAAGGCAGCACCAGGTGCACTTTATCGGTCTGAGGCTCCTGCTCGCCCGCCTCTGTCGATCTCTTCTTACGCTCGCTCAACTCACGCCGATCATAGAAATTTGGCAGCGAGTACGTGTCGAGGCTGCCATCTTCGAACACTCTTCTCGGGATCAAAAATTCCGGATCGCGGACGTCTCTCGTGTACCTGAGAACATTGTGCATTCGAGAAGAGAAATGAAGTTTCGTGATGATCTTTGTGGATCGTGAATTGAAAAAATTTGTTACCCGAGTCGAGAAGAAACCGTTTGAAATTTAAATGTAAGTACAGATATATTTTATCATGATAATATAGTAATATGAATAATACTATACTATGAACAAATAAGTTTAACTAACGATTAGTCAAGTACATACTTATTTTAAGTTTATAGTATTAGTTATACTTCATATATAACTGATCAAGTATATATTTGACTACAAGTAAATGAGTTAAGTTGAACTTATTATACAATGCATGAATCACTTATCGTGAAGTTTCATATTAACTTCCTTTGTGGCGATGATTGGATTAGAAATATGTGAGAGGATTATACAGACATTCCTGACTACGCGCGAACAGTAAATCGGGATTGAAATCAATCGCGATTAAAATTCACGAGCTCGTAAGACATGCTTGATCAAAACGATTGTCCTTTCTTCTCGATTCGTAAGTGTAAAAAAATCGCGAACTCGATGCTTCGTCGCATTCAACATAATGTTGCCTTTAATTGTCCAAATACCTTTATCAATCGGTTCTCGCGTCCACTAAACTTTAATCACGGCAATCGATCGAATCGAGACCTATTTCAGAAACGAACCGCGTAATACGACGGTCCCTGGTGGTTCACCGTTCGATGGAGGAAACTCCTCGATGACACGGTCGAAGGAGCAGAAGAACGAAAGAATGTGTCGGCAAAGTTATGGGACATTTGTTAGCGAGAATGCCAAACTTAGGTAGCGAAGTGAACCAGTCGAGGAACACGAGGGAGAACGATCGGATTGAATCGGTTCTTTGCAACGAAATGGACGACTGAAGCGAATAATTAGAACGATAAAATAATCAGACAGATTTAAATGGTTCCTGACAAAACTCTTTTATTAATTTAACTCTTTGCAATCTTATGCCTACTGTGACTGGGCAACGATTCAATGTCCAATCTCTGCCTAGACGATGATTTTTCGATTCGTATTTTCGTAAATTGTAATTTGTATTCGTTCACGTGGGATGACCAAGACCATTTCGTCTCGTGAATCGAAACTGATATCATAACCGTTTTCGATCTTGAGAACAAGGCTGAGAATTTTCTGGCTAAAAACGATATCGATAACGATGGCAAGCTGCGCAGTGCACTCACCTACCATGGTATACTTTTCCGCGTCTGTTGTCATGTTTCTCAGATACATTAGTGTTCGCGATCACGATGATACCGAGGATTGTCGCCAGTGCTCGGAATCCGTTCATGACAGGCTACTATTTTCTGCACGTTGCCTCCCGAACATTGCCGCGAGACTGCCGAACAACGGAAACTTTGCGCAATTGTTTCCGTTCCATGAACAAATTCTGTACAAAGATATTTTCTCCTTCTAGATTTGCAAAAATTTCGATTCCTCGGCGATGTGAGGATGCTTGATTTACATGTTCGACAAATTAAATTACTACGAATTGTGAATTTCTCATTTGGAGAAACGAAAGAAATTCAATTATAAAGGATCTATGCGTTCGATATTATAACAATAATTGCAATGAATTACGAATGAAAGGTATACTGTAACGACTTTTCGTTCCAAAAATATTTTAAATTTTCAAACTGCTGATTCGCCAAACTGAGATTTTAATGTATAACATAATCGTGCAAAAATAGTATGAAGATTAAAATTAAAATGTATCAAAATTATATTTGTAAAAACGACGTTTCAATGGGATCAAATCTTAATTCGTTTTTAAAACAAAAGAACTCTGGAACATTTTCATTAGTTTCAAGTGAAAAAAAAAAAAAAATTGTAAATTCGTTCGTCGCGTGACGTTTTAAACTATTCATATTCTTATCTTCTCGGCGATGTGAAATGACAGTCGGTTGATGATATCTAGCAGGCAAAAGTTGGTGAATGTTTGATCGCGATTTCGACGTTACAGTCGATATAATTCGATTACGGTCCAATGAAAAATGCAGAGTAACATCAATGAGAGTAATATCCGTCATTCCAAAGGATTTGATGGATAGAACCGGTAAACGAGTTTGAGCTGAGAATGGAGTCACCCGGTATATTGACTACGTGAGCAGTTCTTCCCATGGCTATACTCGAATCGATCCAAATATAGATTCAATCAGCCTTCGGATCGAACCTGATAGGTCAATTTTAGTTGACTTTTTGGTCATGGTTTAACCGAGACCAGATCCTCTTTCTTTTCTCTGTCTTCTTGGTCATTGCGATTCCATTACAACGCACGTAACCATAAATATTTTACTTCTCAAGTATATAATAGTCAATCTTTTATTTTTTAGTGTTAAAATTTTAATACTTCAAATGGGAAATTAATTTGCGCGAAATTAAAATGTTCCAATTGCAGCTTCTGGTCACTGAATTAAGAGCACTCGTAATTTTACGCGTTTTTAGTAAAATTGAAGGATTTGAAGAAAGCTCAATTATGAATTCATTATTTTATTACTTACTATTGTGTTTTACTTTAAATAATTTTGCTACCGACGTGAATGTGCGCAATACTTTGCGTACTTGTACAGTGTGAATATATATTTTAATATATATTTTAATAATTAATCAATTTTGTCGTTGAATTGCATTCAAACTTTCGAATTTTAATAAAAACATACGAGATTAAAACTTAGAAATATTCTTAATTCAATGGCTAGAGACTGTAATTTATAAACATACTATAGTATAATACAGAAATACGTACTTTATAAAATGAAACTTTCAATGTTTGATTATACAGGTATGTAACATTCAAATTATATTATCAACGACAATGTTAAAAATCGAAATCTATCGAATCGCATAGCCAATTCTAATCCAATTAGGAAGCATTGATAGGTAAAGTTATTATTAATAGACGAAAATACCATCGCGTAAAATTGCCTCGATTCATATATTACGTGCTCACCATCGCACAACGACAACCTACGATGATCGTGGTGATTTATGGCGAACAAAAAGACCTTAGAGTCTTTCGGCGCATCCTGCAGATTTAGCTACGTAATTCGATAACGAATCAATGTAGAAATCGCTGCAGCTTCACTCGAGTCTCTTGCTCGGATAAATCGATCGGTCGATAGTGAAACAGAAAGAGAAAGTATAACTGGATATATACCTTTGGAGGTATGTGGTTGAAGCATCGGGGTGGTCCATTCGTGCTCGTCATTGCGGCTGTCGATGACAACCAGTCATTGGACGGGGAATAATTAAGGTTGCCAGCCGAACGGGCAAAAAAGGAAGAACGCGCAAATTGCCGGGATCGACCGGAAGCGCCTAGGATAAACTCGACTCGATGACTCGAAGACAAAATGCGCTGTCAAGCAACGGTGACTCGCTAAACGCGCGCTGTTTCTCGCTTTATTTTCATTTCCGACACGTCCACTGCCGTGGTGGTCACGGTGAACGGCGTTTCTGTTCTTGTATAAATGTATCAGATGTATTGCATTAAGAAGAGAAGAGGAAGCAGGTGCAGTTTGAACTTTCATTCTAGAAAGAGTGCTCGACGATACTCGATAAGATTTATTTTTCGTGTCGCTGTTATCAATTTATTCCCAACCAATGGACACGTTTGTGTTCCGTTCGGAAGAAATTAGGAATTCTGGTTTAGAAATCTTTCTCTTTAATCGTTTGACGATGTATTTGATTTTTCTAGCCTATCTAGATCATCAAGAAAAATCGCTCCCTGTTAGTTCGCCGAGAACTCCTGTTCCATCTCACGCGCGAACCGCGTAAATTTCACGTGGCAATACAACGTGTACAAACGACACACCGGCCGTTATGCCACCAGCCAATATGAATTAAAGAGCCGCGCGTCGTGTCGTGTTCATCCCCGAACGTGCGAACGTTCCTTATCTCTGGTTCCATTAGAGAGGCTTCTCTTGTAACCAGCGAACGATACAGAACGAAAAGGCGAAAAGAAAAGAAAGGAGGGAAAAAAAGAGAGAGGTGGCGATGGTAGCACAAAGAGAGTCCTCCTATCGAAAAGCTGGCGAGAGTAATACGGAATGCTGGCAGAACTGGCAAGGATAAATTGTTGCTGGAATTTAATTGGCGACCGCGCGTGCCGAACGCGTCTATTCAATTTCGCAGGCCGCGGTGGAACGCTTCTGTGTGTCTGTTTACTTTCCTCTAACGCACAAACACGCTCGTTCAACGATCCGCTCTTTCCGTGACATTAAATGTTGCATTCCGAATAATTCACCCCGGCTGGCTGAATGCACGACAATGTGCATTCGATCGAAGAGAGCGAGAGAGAGAGAGACTACGAAGCGCGTGATTATCGGGCTGAGATTTGCGGTTGGTGGAGGAAAAGTCGAGGCTACGCAATTACCGGCTAATGAATCGTTTTTAAAGTGAAACGTGTCGTTCTTTCGATTGGTAGGAAGATAAAGTCTCTTCTCGCCGCTTGGAAGCATTATTGAGTTTATTTCTTGCGTCAAGTTAGGATAAATTGTCGCTGAGGATAACGATAGTTCAATCTTTTAGTTATTCTCAATCACTCGAATTTTATATTCGATGAGAATCTTATTTCAAATGAAAAAGTCGAAAACGAAATACTGTGAAATAATTTCTCCAAAGCTAATATCGTCGCCGAGCAAGAAAAATTGTTACGCCGGTGATTTCTCACGATCAAAAATGTCTAGTAAGTGAAATTCGAAGTTTAATTAGAAAAATTAGGAAAGAATTAAAATGTTGTATTGTTTCATTTCATTTGCTTCAACATGCTGCGTCATCGTACTGAAATAGTAGTTTGATCGCAGTTAGATACGGGCGAGGTTGCTCATCACATGTTACGTCACTCTGCGGACACAGCGTGAAATGATTTATATGGGCACAAAAAAACATTTTTTTTTTTTTAAATAAAAGCAGATACAAAAAGAAATGAAGAAGAAGCAGCTCCAATTTACAGCGATGAAGATAAGAAGTTGAAGCTGAATTTTATTCAACAGACAT